TATACTTAAATAAAAATGTCATATCTTAAAGATAGAAACTTTAACATTAAAAAAAAAAAAAAATTTAGATTATAAATTTGATATTTCAGATTATAATATTAGATTTTTTTAGAAAATTTAAAACTAGTGTTACAAAGTAGATTTTAGCATAGTATATTATATCATAATATTAGTAGTTATATTTATATATATTTTAAATATTAATAGTGCATATATATATATATGTTTTTTTTAGTATTAAGATGATCTCTTGAGTCTTTTGATTTTATTTAACAATAGTGAATGAGGTTTAGTGAACCACTAAAGAAAAAATATACAATTTGCTATACATATACCTTTTCTATCTTATCTATTTAAGAAATCCATTCTAAGGTTCCTTACAAATGCTATATCTAACTCTTCTGCTTAAATATTTTACTTTAAACTCTTTGAAGATGCAAACCTGTAAACTTCATTAGGTCATATCTGATGCCCAGATCATCATCTCAATCTTAAAACTATTTTATCCTAAGGTAAACTCCTTAGAGTCTTCTGTACTTATTTTTAAACTAACCTAAATATTGCTATAGCAGAACTAATACTTGCAGTTAGAGCTTAACTATTAAATTGCTATGCTTTTGTAGAGTTTATTTAGACCTTGGCATCTACTTCACAGCATAACCTCAGTATTTTAGTATACCTCTGCTTTTTTATCTGCATTTTTACCAAACTCCCAATCCAGATAGCCTATATAGGACTATAATCAGTTCATCATATATTAGGTCAGTCTGATATCCTTTTTCTCTAATTTGTTCTAGTGGCCTAGTTAATAATACCTCTAAGACTCCCAACTCAGAGGTTCTTGCTTATCTGGCTACTATGACTAGGTACTATGATCTTGGTATTTATTTTTCTGAGCTAGTCTTTACAGTAGGGCTATCAAAAATCCAGCTATCTCTCTACTTAGATCTTCTCAAATAGACTTCTTGTTATCTAATTTTAATAGATATAAATACAAGAACTTATTTAGTATTTGTATTGTCTGATTACTGATTTGCATTCTTTTGTGTAACCACAGACCTTGTACCAAAGGACAATGTTATATGACTGTTATATAAATGCTTCATGACTTGCTAGTCATGCTAGTATGACTACTATTACAGATATTTTAACCCAATTATTAGTAACAGTTGCCATAATATGAATATTATATGGATGATTATTCAAATTTTTGCTATTGATAGAATTTGAACTACCAACCTATCAATTGAAGGGTTGACAACCTGACTACTTTACTAGGTCCTCACACCTCTATATATATATATTTATTATTGTATTGTATATATTATATTTATTATTAGTTATTAGTTATTAATTAATTGATAGTTATATTATATAATAGATAGATAAAAGAATTTTAATTAGTTATTAGAAATGTGGTACAGTCACATGACACTAAGTAACATCTGTGATGTTACTATCATCTTACAAATTCTAAGTACTTCTGTGCCAAGTATCATAGCACAAGAATTCAAATATTTTTATATGAACTTTAAGTATTCTTATACAAATTCCAAATGCCTTTGCACAGATTCAAATGTCTAAACACAAGCTCTAAGTGTTTTAAGCATAAATGACAAATGATATAAACAATATTCCCAGTTGCCTCCACACAGTTCCTATTACTTCAAGCACAGTATTATTTAATATTATTTGAATCTCCACTATTTCAAGTACAATGATATCTAATGTTGATCAAACTTCCATTACTCTGAGTACAGTATCAAGTAATATTGCTCAAATCTCTACTATTCCTGTTAGGTAAAAAGATATATAAAGGATATCTTTCGTCTTTCTTTGTTAATTCTAAGTTCCTATACTTTGACCTAGACCTTCCTATTTTTATCTCTAACTTAAAAAGTGATATTCTTCTTTTGGAGTAATTTTTATAGACAAGGTTGTCACTGTGTATTTATTTAATAAAGTTAATCTATATACTGTTATTATCTTGAACTATTTGCCTGCTGCTATATAGTAAAATGAACTACTACACCTTTACACTATATATATTTGCAATATTCAATCCCTGTATTAAGTAATTTTGTTATTTAGTTGTATTGTTTTAGAAGACTGCAACTCTGTAATACTAGTTTTAGATTAAAGCTTTTGAAACTAGTTTTAAGGCTAGAGTATATGATTTTCAAATTATATATAAAACTTTCAGTAAATTTTTATTTAATTAAAATAAAAAAAATTTTCTTAAGTAAACAGCTTTTAAATATTAATTAAAAACTGTAGAATATGGTTTTTTGATTCTAATAATAGTAAATTTATTAAAATTGGTTAAAAATTAATTGAGATTTATATGTTTAAAAATTAGATATTATAAATTATTTATATAAATCATATAAAGATCATATGATTTGAACTAATTATGATTAACAATTTTGTGTAATTACAGAAAATTTGAAATTACTATGAAGAATTTTGCAATATATACAAGTATATTTTTTTAAAATATTTTATTTATTAAAAATTTTACTATTATAAAGAATATATCTTATTTCATATTATAAAAATTTGATAAAAATTAATTGCAATAATAAAATATTTTATTAATAGCAAAGCTTTATTTTTTATAAAAATTATATTGTACTACAAAGATCATATAAAAAATAATCTATGTATACTCTACCCTTAAATAGATTTTGTTTTGGTTACTAAATTTATTATAGATTGAACAAATAAATAAATAATAAATAATAAATAAATAATAAAAAATACTAACACTATTATGCTTTATATCTACAAATAATAGTAATATACCAATATTATAATAGTAAATAATAGTAAAATAACAAAAATTATATTAATATTAGTAATATAATAATAATATATTAATAAAATAACAAAACAGTTTTATTATTTACTTTTAATTTTTATAATTAAAAATAAAATAATAAAATAATTTTATTATTTTGATCTCTAGAATCGATAGCATAGCAGTTATGTTCTGAGGTTACAAATCACAAGGTTGCAAGTTCAAATCCTAGTGACAGCAATTGTAGAGATGTATTTTCAAAATAGGGAACTGCAACATCATGGAACCAGAGACCCAGGACATCCAATGAATGGACTTTTTTCTAAAAATAACAAGTGACCTACAGTTGAGAAACCACATGATAATAAACATGAGTTGGAGCCTGATTTGGAATAACTGAAGTTATGAGATGTAATGTGAGGCCAAAAGTCTAACAATAAAAGATACTATATGAACTTATAGTGACAGTCAGTTCTAAATAGAGCCTGGTGAAGCCTTCCGATACTGGCGGAGATTGGTATGATAGTTATTCTTGAAAAGTTTAAAAGTATAGATCAGGGAAGGTCAAGGTCAGTTTCAGGAGTATATTGAGGATTTTAGTTCAAAAAATATAGAAAACATGAAAAGTCTTGGCAAGACTAGTCAAAGAGGAAAAAAAAATTTAATTATTTTATTTTTAATCTTTATAATTAAAAGTAAAATAATAAAACTATTATATTATTTTGTTAATATATTATTATTATATTATTATATTAACATATCTTCTGTTATTTTACTATTATTCTACTATTATTCTGCTATTATATTGCTATTATTTAGTAGATATATAGTAAAATAATAGCAGATTTTTTTATTATTTATTTATTATTCACTCTTTTATCTATTTACTTGGCCTGTATATATTGGACCAAATTTATAAAAATTTAAAAATAAAAATATAGTAAGAAAATAATTTTATATAATAAGATAATATCTAATAAGATAGTATTTTAATATAAATAGTAACTAAGATAGCTTTAACCTGATATGTTACTATAATAGTAATATAAAAATTGCATATATATGCAATATAAAGTGTTAAAAATCAGAAAGTTTAAATAGAGAATCTACAGATAGGTCTCAAGTATTGCATCTAGTAGATAATCTATAGGTGAAACTCTTAATTATATAATGACTAAAGTTATATATATAACTAGTTGTACTTTTATTGACATATTTTGTATATAAAAATATAATTATATATTATTAATAAAAACATACAGGAAGTGTGGCAACCTAGTAAAGTGGACAGGTTGTCAACTCTCAAGTGGTAGGCCTAATGTTCAAATTCTATAAATAATGAAATTTGAAAATTATATCTGTGTTATAGTAACTATGTCTTGTCAATCAGTTGAACAAAAAAGATGATTTGTAATTTTAAGAATATTATCTTGAATGAGAGCTTGAAACATCTATACAAAATGTAATATTATACATATATAGAGAAATGTTAATAATCAGTGTTGTATAAGACTTTAGTGCAAATCTATAATAAGACAATCAAGTACATAATACTAAGAAACCAAAGCATGAAAACCTATTTGGATTTTCTAAATAAAGAGGTAGTATGAACTTTCAACAGTATTATGAACCATCAGAAGACTTCAACAAAGAATTATTAGAATGAATCTGATGATAATATATATAGAGAAACACATACCAACCAAGCTGCCAGGAATTATTAAAGAAAAAGAATTTTAGAATGCCATACCAAACCATCTGGATTGGTAGTTTATAAAATCTTATAAGTTTAAAATTAAGAAATGAAAGTTAGAAAAGGAAGGTATCGGAGTCTTAATGAATTTTTCAAGTATATAGTAATTTAATAGTTAGCTCTAACTGTAAGTGATAGTCTAAACCAGAGCAGTACTGAGTATACATATATTTCGTACTGTACGATAGAAAAATTCGTACTGTATTTTTTTTTCAATTGTTTATACAGTACCGTACACTCTTTTATAATGTATTAGAGTATAGGTAAACAAGAGTGTACAGTACTATATTTAAGTTATTAATGCCCCAGAAATATCATACAATACATAAGTAAAAATTATGTAATATGATCATTCGAAAAATTATATAATATTAATATATACTATATATGAATAATAAATAATAATCGACCTGATTAGTTCTCTTTCACTTTTTTTAAAAAAGTGAAATGGATTGTTTTACAGATGTTATACTAATTTCAGATGATGAACTTGAAATTATTGACACCTCTACTCTCGAAGGTGCGTTTTATTTTTTTTGGATAGTATAAAAATAGTAACATACATAAATGGTTTATATTAATTCTTTTTTGGTATAATGATAATGCGATGATCAATTTTTATAGATGTAATACACGACGATATTAAAATCATCGAAGGTAAATAATGTAGAAAATTTTTTGATATATACATAATTGCAGAATCAAGTTAAATTATTTTTTAAAAAAGTAGCATTGCAAACTGTTAATACAAGAATTAAATTGAAAGATAAAATCAATTCTAATTTAATAAACAAAAATATAGGATTTTATAATGATCTTACTTTATTTAATAATAATTGAAATTTTGACACAACTGAGAAGTTGCAAGAACCTAATAATCAAGGTATATTGGTGTTTTTTATATAGTGATAAACATAAAAATATATTAATATAGTAATAATAATTCTGTTAAGATATATATTAATTAAATTTTTTTTTAAAATAGTATTACAAACTTTTAATATAGATGATGGTTGGAACACTGATATAACAGATGAGTTACAAAAACTTAATAATCAAGGTATATTAATGCTTTTTTTTTAGATATCAATATATTTATAATAATATAATATAATATTTTATTAATAAAAACTCTTTCCGTAAATCATTTTTACACAAAAATAACTAAAAATTCATCAGTAATAAAATTGTTAATATCTAGTTATTTTATTAAGATAACTAACTTTAACATCTTAAGTAAACTTGTTCAACTACTAATTTTACATATATTCTGAAAGTTTCAAAAAGATAGCTCTCAAACTTGCAGTTTAATACTGCAATAACGGCCTTTGGGCTTCTAAACTCTTTATTTAACTATTTCTCTATAACTAGCTTTACAA